TATCAATAAAGAAAAAAGATGCTAATGGGAATTGCCAAAGTAGAAATGGGGCAAGTGGGTGGGCATTCCATAACGAGAGGTCACTGTTTTAGGATAAGGGGCGGCAGATGTAAAACAGAGATGAAGAGAAATTACTTCTCTCAAAGGACTGTGAATTGGTGGAATTCACTTCGAAGAGTGTGGTGGACGCCAGGACCCCAGGACCCCAAAGCAACTTAAGGAAGACGTAGACTTTTTTAAAATTAGCAATGGATTGAAGGGTTATGGAGAGTGGGCAGGAAAGTAGAGTGGAGGCTGCGTTTATATTGAACGTCACAACTTTCTCAAGGGACTGAATGGCCTACTTTATCCCAAGTTCTTATGTAATATTACAAGTGTAGACCCTGTGCTCCAAGGAAAGGTATTATTCATACATTTCTACTTGAAATAACTCCAGGGAGGCTGGTATCCCATTACCAGGTTACCCTTTATTTACATATGGAGAGAGTCCTTGACACTGGTGCAGCTTCCTCAGAGCCAGCTCTGAGAAGGAATAGAACTTCTGACACTCTAATTTGTCAGCCAAGGCTCCCTGATTGGACCAGATTAACAGCTCCAGTCAGGGATCTCCTATTCTAGGAGGTCCATCTGGCTGACCTCATTACAATCAGGACACTATTCTGTCAAATCAAGTCAAAAATGCTACTGGACAGTTAGGTTTAAAAGATGACAAAGGGAATAGATGGTGTTCATGTTGATTGTTTCTCGTGAATATTTTTAGGGAGGTGTGGGGGGCTACACAGTTTTAAGTTGAGGCCAGATCTAGGGTGATCATCACAAGATGGTCTTTTCCCCAGAAAGGAGTGAGCCTCAGAAACAGGTGGCTATCTCAGATGATGGAGTGTTGTTCATTTCAAATTAGAACTGGGCCAGCTTCTAGCTCAGATAGAAAATCTACATAAAACAGAGTAGCTACTACAGGGAATCATCACGCCAAGACGATTGCAACAAAGGGGTCGGCAAGTGGTATCAGTTGGAACTCTCCCCCAAAATTGGCCTGGCTTTTTAATCTGTCTTTTTCCTCTCCTTCAGACGGTCACTTGTTTCACGGGGCCTGATGGGATATTTGTAGTTTGTAAGACGCAAGGGGTTACAACTGTGTGGATAGACCATAAGGAGTTATCCTCTCAGTCATTGGCCAACTGTAAAGAAGACTGAAATGATTAATTATTAATTTGCAACAAATTCCTCACCTGAACAGTGAAAGACAGACTTGCACAGGGTTTCCTGTGCCTTCTGTGCTTACCTTATATTTCACTTTAACGCAGGAGTGCACATAAGGGCCCAGGTAATAATACTTCATACTTGGAACTTTCTCATTCAACCTCTGAGTTAGTGCTATTTCCCTAGAAGGTAGTAAGTGCACTGTCATTTAGCATGCTTCAGGAAACGCCGCACACTCTTTAAGCCGATATCTCATTGGTCAATGGTGAAGTTCTGTTCTCCTGCCTCTGCATCTTCCTGCTTAGCTACAAACATCTGTTAGGGCTTGGATAGAGCTCACTTTACTGTGGCCCACTAATGGTGCACAGGTTCCCCCCTGGGAAATTGTACCACAGCTTACAAACATAGGAAAAGGGATCAGTATTGACCCCTTCAAGCCTGCTTCACATTCAAAGAGATTATGGTTGTGGTTTCAAATCCACTTTTCCGTCTACCAGCCCATAACCCTCCACTCCCCTCTAGAAAATCTTTCTAACACAGCCTTGACTAGATTCAATGACCCGGCCTTCACTATTGTCTGAGGAGGAGAATTCCACAAACTAACAAGCCTCAGGGGAAATAAAAACACGCCTCAGGCTTAAAAGTAAAATCCCTTTTTCTTTAAATGCATTCCTGAAATAACTGTAGAAAGGCCAGTATTCTGTCATCAAGTCCCCCTTTACATACACAAGTGCACAGTACACTGACTGTAGGCAGCCAGCTCGGAGTCAGACCCCTGAACTGAGGGCATTCTAAATCTCCTGGTTATATTGGTCAGCTAGCACTTTCCTGATTAACAACCCAGGTTAAAAACCCCAACCATGGATCCCGTAGTCAACAAGACCCACCTGGGTCCAATCACTGCAGTTCCCAAAATCTAATCACTCTTTTCATCTTTTCAGCAGCTAACCTGCCAAGTCACCTCAGCAATTTATATATGTTTTAAGATCAACTCTCATTCTCCTAAACTGCAATAAATCAAGGTCTAACCTATCCTAATAGGATACACTAAAGTTTGAAAAGTTTAAAATGTAATTACAACTGGAAAGCAGGAAACATTTTTTCCCCAACTCTTAAAAATAGGATAAAATGTTTGCAAATCTAAATTGATTTCTCCATTTTATAATCAGACTAGTTTTGCAATGACTTTAACAAATCAGACAGAATATAATTGTGTAAAGGTTTAGGACCCGGAACAACTTTGCGAGGATATAACAGAGCTGCACATCACTGAGCGTAAATAGCACAATACAGATGGAGTTAGAACATTCTTTCTGGGAGGTCCATATGTGCACATGATCATGCACACACAAATCATATATAGTTAGATCAGTTCCTATCTGATGTAATATTAGAGTCTTGTATATCTATACTTACATATAGCAGTGCAAACACTGTACAAGTATAATGGGAAATATTAACTTGCAAATACTCTGCATTTGCTTCCCCTCCTCCCCATAGCTTCATTTTCAGTTCTATGTTTCTACCTGAGTGCAGAGTAGACTCCCAATGAGAGGGAAGAGTAATCTGGATCATAGCAAAGGTACTGGGAGTTAATTCCTTCCGGTAGTATATCTAACAAGCCGAGAGCTATTATTTTCCCATCTAGCAGGAACTGTTCAATGAAAGAGCCATAGCCAGTGTCTGGGCCATCTGCTGGGTCCTCCCCCTGTCAGCAAGATAAAGAAAATGGATTCAGGGTGGTTCCCACAACAGGACATCAACCACATTATGCTTGAGCCTCAGTCCACAGAATCATTATAAACACTAACCCCTACTGCTTCAAGGCAAGCATTGAAAATAGGTTAAATACAGAGCACTATTATAAATCAGGGAAGAAAATGGTTAAAATAAGCTTAGATATTTGATTGCTGTTATGCTATTATAATGATGCTGTTAAAATACGAGAGCCTGTGCTCTATGGACAGACTCGCATAGAGTATAATCCCTGCAAAATCTTAGAAGGGCTGAATGGCCTGTTGCTGTGCTATAAAGTTGGATACAATTCCACTTTTAATATTGATCCCTTATCCGTCTGTGTAGCATCAACCTGTTAATCTCCCATCTGCTTGCAGTACAAATTACATTGTAAAAGAGAAACTAATTTCATAAGCGCATTCTCCCCATAAACCCACATTATCTGGAAGCTATATTTTTGTTTATGGAAGTTGGAGGACATTGCTCCAGGGGAACAGAAAAGGGCAAAACATCTTTCATTCCAAGTAGCAAAGGGAGAACCTCACTAACTAACTAACTCCCAAACCAATCAATAGTTGGGTTACATTAACAGGTACATTTTTTAATTATGTACCATTGTGACAACATATCAGAGCATCATTATCTAGGACATAGTGCTCTTTATTAAATTTAATCAAATAGTGACTGAGAGGCCACATACATACAACTTCCCCACTCCATAGCTTTGGGGCATGAGGCTTCCTACTTGGTTCGTAACCACCCAACCTCCTCTCTGTCAGTTTGACTCGGGAATACTCAACCTTCAGCCCAGAATCTTATGACATACAAGACCTACTCCCCAGACCTGAACACACAATCTCGCCTGAAGTCTGGTGCAGTGCTGTGGGAATGCTGTATCGTTGGGAGATGTCATCTTTCAGATGGGAGTTTAAACTAATGTGTCACTTGTTCTTTCAAGTGAATGTAAAAGATCCCAGGCAGCACGGTGGCTCAGTGGTTAGCACTGCTGCCTCACAGTGCCAGGGACCCGGGTTCAATTCCAGCCTTGGTGACTGCCTGTGCATATTCTCCCCATGTCGGCGTGGGTTTCCTCCCACAGTCCAAAGAAGTGCAGGCTAGGTGGATTGGCCGTGCTAAAATTTTGTCCAGGGGTGGCATCCTTCTGCACTGTAGGATTCTATGATTCTATTCAAAGCAGAACAGACAGTTTTCTTCAGTGTTCAGGGTGATATTATTTCCTTACGATGTTGATTTTGGAATTAGAAATGTAGGAGTGTTGCTCAATGTTATCAAACTTTCTAAGCCAGAACAATTGACAATGTTTCCCAATGTTTCATTGACTATAGAATGCTTTGACAGTCTTGAGAACATGAATGTAAATGTACATAAATTAAGTCTTTTTGTTTCATTAGTTTCTGATTGGTAACTTATGAAGCACAGGGAGGGGTTTCCACCTTTTCCCGATAAATCATGATTAGTTTCTACTTGTTAAAATAGCTCTGTCATGCACAAGCAGCCAGATAACACCAGGGGATTTGCTGAGCATTCACAAAGTAGCTATCAAATAAGGAAAAATAAGCATCAGGAAAAGGCACAGATGTTGGAACCTACTCACCATGAGTGGAGTGCTACAGAAAAACCTTCTGTACTGCAAGACACAAAACAACACAACACGATAAATCAAACAAAAGCTGTGCATAGTTGCTATATCGTCCTGTTTCTACAATACTGGGTAGACCTAATGCTGTGTGACCCTTCTGTAAAATCTTCCAAAAACAGAAACTAAACCAGCCATGGGTGTCAACAGGCCTGAACCCCAGGATAAAGAACATTGCACCCAATTCAGAATTTCATAATCACATCAGGCAAGGCTTCGCTTGAAATCTAATTGTGGCATAACTTGCAAACAAATTAGCACCAGGTCTAGCTTTATGTGAATGTCTGCTTAGCAAAGCAAGAGCCAGCATTGTTGGGTGACAGAACATTTTAGGGTGCCCAGTGTCAATGTTAAATACTTCTGGGTCTGGGTTAGAGGTTTGTCTGCAGATCTTCTATCCCAAGATAGTGAGGTTGCTATATCAATTCAATAATACCTAGAGAAGATTTTACAGCCTGATTTTGTTTATCATTGCAAGGAACACTTTTGATTTATATCATACACTGTTTTAAATAATGAACATCAGTTTTAGAAATGAGATTATAAAGGCTGCTTAATTAGATTATCCCAGCAGAGAGTTTGTTTGGATTTTCTGTTTAATTTAAAGGTAAAGGTAATCATTGGAAGAATTGATGATGAAATGATACATCAAAACCCTATAGAACCATTTGGCAATTTTGCTATAACAAAATGAGTAACACAACAAATAAAACTCTGACAAAATATGGTATGATGTCATATTCTGCCCTGGGAGCTGACAGCCTGATGGCCGAAACATGGAATTTACCAGTTTCAAAATTCCACACCTCCCCCCACGACCCCCACCATCACCATCACCACTCCCACTCCCATGGCCACCTCATCCCATGTCCAACCCTCCCTCTCACCCACACTTCCTTGACCTGACACTACCAGTCCACATTCTTTCCCATCTATTCCACCCACCCATCCATTCACTGACCAATTCCCACCACTCCCTACCTGCACTCACCTATCACCATCCCACCCACCTTGCCCAGCCCCACCCCTCCTCTCTCTATTTATTTCCCAGCTCTCTCCCCCTACCCAGTCGCGAAGAAGGGTCCAGGCCCAAAAACATTGACTCTCCCGCTCCTCTGATGCCACCCGACCTGCTGTGTTCCTCCACACTGATGGTATGATGTCAACCAACTTGGGTCTTGAATTTTGTGGAATAACAGACAACTTTACTGCTGCGTTAACAGTAAGGTTAATTAGTGATGACATTCACAAGTCAATGTCAATTGGATGACCAAATAATTCTTAGAGTTTTGACACTAAAAGTTTCATAGACCATGTGAATATGGACTCCCAGAAAATAATCTGCATCCTGTTCCAAGTTTTGTTTTAAGATGTCTGAATTTAGGGTGACTTTCTTTTGTACATACGCAGGGATTTTTTTCTGTTTAAAAGGAGCAGTCATTGACTTTCTGCTACCTGTAGCAGTGCTAGTGCACAGTCAGATCCCAGGCAGCTCTCATAGAAATGCAACGCCCAACCATTAGCATGTCACTGCATGGCTTTAACAGATCATTACAGGTGGTACCTCTGCCTCCGAGGCCATCACTTCAGTGTCTTTGTGCACATGCATCTGGTAGCGCCTGTAGACTTTGTAAGATTCACCAAATGTAGCGTGTAGCTCAGGGCTTGGAGGAGAAAGTCGCAGTAGCTTCACCTGAGAGCGCGACAGGGAAAGAAAGACTCACATTGAATACACCATAGGCCAGCAAACTACCCGCACTTGATGTTCAGATGCTGTCCTATCTAGGAACTTAATGTATTCTTGAGCATTGTTGCATAAGTAGGCCATTCATTCCTTCCAGAGAGTGTTCTAACTCTTATTAAATCATGGCTGTTGTGTTCCTCAACTCCATCTAATATTCATAATTATCCTGAGGTGGTGGTGACGAACCATTTCTTGATTGCAGCCTATGTGGTGCAGATCCACATATCTTCATGAATCTCACACCATATCAATTTGAAACTTTACTCATTTTCCTTCAGTGATACTAGATCAAAGTCCTAGAACTCCCTCCCTAACTCACCTACACCAGGAGGTTCAAGGCAGCTCCTCATGTTTGAGGGCAGTTAAAGGTGGGGTAATAAATACTGGTCTAGCTAGCAACACTCAACCCATGAATGATACAAGAAAAATAACAAACATTTTCCAATGTTAGGAGTTTCAACCCAAAACACCCACATAACCTTTGGGAATGGAATTTCAGATTTTCACTTTCATTTATGTGGAAAAATTATGTGACTCTAATTTTAACATTTTGTCTCCTTTGCCACTCAATAGAATCACCTCTGTCTCAATCCTAATGAATCATTAATGTCATTCTAAACATCTCAAACAGCAAAAACTCCTCAAGAGGATCTCACTAACATGACAAACTGGAATATAGTACATGCTGTTTATGATTTTTTGTTAATGTAAACAATATTACCCAGCTCATGCCACACACTAAAATTGTTAAAAATAGGTAAAATTCTCCTTAAATCTCTTCCGACTGAACCAAAGACTGTGTCCACCAAAGATGAAGAATTTTTGTTCATTTGGGGCTAACCTGTCAGCATGTAAAAAGGGGGAGATTCCAAGAAATAACAGAAGACAGATTCCTTTTTGAATTAACCAGCATCTTATCCTTAAAGGCTCAGCATGTAAAAATATCAGATGCTGTTGTCTTTTAAGCTAGGAGACCCCAGGTCCAGTTCGGAATTAAAGAAGCCTGATCCTTGTTCTGGACTATTGGTTAACATCCACATGTCCAGAAGGAACCACTGGGCAACAATTTGCAAACTGCACCTTGCCATATTACTCTTCCCCTGGTCTGGGGCTCCACTATAGGACTCAATAACCTGGGCACAAAGTGAAAGACAGAAATCTCTGGGTTACTGCAGTTGATAACCATCAGGTGGTTGTGTTGGAAACTGTACGTGGACATCAAGTTAAGCTAAAGCTGTGATACCCCCCAACAGGTGAAAATCTTACCAGACTTAGTAAACAAAAAAATTGGGATAAAAGTGGGATGAGTTTTTTTTTTAAGAAAGAAAAAGATGTTTTAAAAAAAAACTGTTATCGGTGGAATCTTCCAGCTGTTTTTGAGAAGTTTTTTCTTCCACCTGTGGTAAGGCACCTCTTCTGTTTCTGTATAAACCTCGGCTATTTAATATCATTGAGCAGGTCTTCCAGGTCCAAAGTCATTACAAGCACCATACTGAATCTGGCTCTCAGCTGGAGTACTCCACCTTTGATGTAGTAACTGTTCAGCATCACTCCATTAGAGGTAATGACTGAAATCTTCAGTTGAATGGGTAGAAAACCACAGACAGACAATGTCGCATGTCATTATCAGATTAATTCCCAGAAACAGAGACAATGCTCAGAAAGTCAGAGTTTATTGCCCAAAGTTGCCCTCAACAAGCTGATGAGCTTTGAGTTGATGAAGTCCACATGGAGACGGTACACCCATAATACTGCAAAATGTTGACCCATTGGTGATTTACAAATGACGGAGGTATGACCAAGCCATAATGTGAAGCACAATTCTTTTCCTCCCAAAAATCTGCTGTCATTGTGTTTTTACTTAAAGGTCAAAGGTTTGGAAGACACTGCTGAAGAAATTTCGGAAAGTTGCGACAGTGCATCTTGTAGATTTTACATGCCACTGACACTGTGTGTCAATAATGAAGTGAACGTTTAAAGTGGTTGATGTGGTACCAAACACGGCTTTGTCCTGCATGGTGTTGTCCTCGGAGTCTTGTTGAAATTGCACTCATCCAGGCAAGTGGAGGGCATTCCATCACAATCCCACTTGTACCTTGTAGATGATGGGAGTTCCTTTAGGATGTTGAGAGGGGAGCTGCTTACCACAGAATTCCAAGCTTCTGACCAGCTCAGGTAGCCAGGTGCCTGGACTATTTTAACTTGTGGTCAAATGGCGCCTCCCAGGATGTTGGTGGTCAGGGACTCAGTGCTGGTAGTATCATTTAATGTCAAGTGAACACAGTCAGGCTTTCCACTTTGGGAGGATCATCTGCATTTGGTCATACCCTGACACTTATCATGCCAAGGCTGGATGTTGACCAGACATTCCTGCATGCAGGAATAGACAACTCCATCATTTCAACAATTACAATGGAACGGAATATTGCACACATCTATAAGTTGCTAACATCACGATGGAGAGAAGTCATTGATGGAGCTGCTGGAGGTAGTTGAGAAAGCTGAAAATGGTTATCGGGGAAATTTCAACAACTGCAGCCATCTTCATTCATGTAGGATCCAATCCCAACCATTTCCCCTAATCACCCTGAATTCAATTTGACTCGCGCTGCTTGATACCATACTCAGTCAGATGCTTCTTCAACATCAACAACAGGTACTCAAGCCTCATCTGTTGAATTCAGCGTATATCCAGGTTTGGTCGAAGGCTGTATTGGGATCAGGAGGCAAGTGGTACCAGTGGAACACAAACGATGCATTGGTGATCAGGACATCAGAGTGAAAGCGTTATTTGACAGCACTTTGCTAATGATTGGGCTAAGATTAATAGGATGGTAACTGGCCAACTAGATTTGTCCTGTGTTACTGACAGTGATCAATGTTATGGGACACTAAGGACATGCCTGAAGACATCACTAACTGACAGTACCAAGGACTTTTTTACAACTGGATTTCATCATTCACACCTTAGAATGTATTTGTATATTAACAGGACATTGAAGGTGATAGGTGCGCCCAATGGATTGCCAAAGAAGTGCATCAAACAATGTGTGATAGATCCTTATTAGACAGTAGATCCCGAGTTCAGTTGCAGATATGTGCCGAGACATTGGATCTCAGCTGGGGCACAACTGGCTTCAGTCATTCTGGTTAGAGAAAGAATAATGTGTGGGATTGATGGGCTGAATCGCCTGCTTCCACACTGTGGGAATTCTATGATCGTGTCCTGGAAACTCAGTCTAAAAAGTCATCCAGCAACATCTACCACAGCAGGAACATGCGCGAAGAAAGATTCTGGACTTCACTTGACCCCTCTGGTCTGAGAATACGGACCAGTCTCACATTTGAAGACCATTCACTTGATTAAATCTTGGTTCAATATATTCCCACCTGTTATTGGGCAGCTCATTCTGTCTCACCTTACGACACGCACCACGTAAACTATCTGCAAACCATAACCACAAAAGCAGTAGCTCGGAGAAACATCAAACAAAAACGGTATGATTGGCACATTGACCCATCATAAGGTGTGTGGCAGAGTTAACTTCTCTCTTCCTATTTTTCTACTATTTACAAACCCCAACCCCACGCTCTTTAATATTGTTCTTCTTTCTGTGCTCACCTTCTACAAACTAGCTGCAACCCTATTTGGCCTTTATACTTTACCCTATAAACAGCCAAAGCGCTGGAGCCAATGTCTGACAAGGTCACAACAAGGTGGATTTCAGGATGGAATCAAGGGAGATGGAGGCATGTGATAATTTCACTGGACTAGGAATCCAGAGGATCAGGATAATGGTCTGGGGACATGGATTCAAACCACCCCCATGATAGCCGGTGGAGTTTAAACTCTATTAAACTTGTAATTGAAAAAGTTAGTCCCATTAATGGTGGTCATGAAACAAATACCGATTGCTGTAAAAACGTCCCTTAGAGAATAAAACATGACCTACTTTCAATTCCAGATCCACAATAGATGTGGCTAACTCTTACTGAACTGCCTCTGCAAGTGACTCATTAGGAATGCTAACTAACAGCAGACTTGTCACATCCCCAAATCTCAGGAAAGCATTCAAAAAAAAAACTGGTTACAGGGAGTCTGCAGCAAGTTTTACATCTCTCCAGTTTCTTTTAAAAAGGGGAGGTGGTGGAATAATGGTAATGTCAGTGGATCATTAGTCCAGAACCCCAGACTAACATGCTGGGGGCATGAGTTCGAATCTTACTATTGCAGATGGCAAAATCTAAATTCAGAATAAGCTAGCCCAATGGGGACTACATAGCCACTATAAATCCACCTGGCTCACTAATGTTCTTTAGGGAAGGAAATCTGCTGTTCTTACCAGGTCTGGCCTACGTGTGATTCCAGACCCACGGCAATGTGGATGATTCTTCACAACCCGCTGGCAATTAGGTAAATGGTGTCCTAGTTATCATCCCATGAACGAATATTTAAAAAAAGGAGAGAAATGCAAAATGACCTGTAGATTGACCAGCACCAATTTTACACAAAGGCAAGATCTAACCAAATCTTACTGTATGTCTGACTCAGTCTGAATTTCCCTAATGTACTGAATCACACTGAGTGGAGGCCTGGGGCAGATCAGCCATGATCTTATAGAATCACAGGACAGGTTTGAAGGGCTGAATGGCTTACTCCTCCTCCTATATCTTATGTTAGGAGTTAAAAACTGACCCCTGGGATCCTTACTGTCTACATTGAACAAACAGGTTGTTGCACTGGTGAATGGGAGCTGGAATACAGATTCTTACCTCCAGCTGGTGCAATGATGTGACAGGCGTGTTGTCCACTATGAGCTCCTCTAATGATCTAGTATGGCTAGGCTCAGGCTTGGAATGAAGTGGAGGTGGGATGGGAGATGGGTGCACAGTGCTCATGGAGGTTTGTGACAAGGATGGCTGCGGACCTGGCAAAGGACCGGATTCCTGACCTGGGGCCTTGCGCTCCGTCAGTCCCACCAAGTCTGACTCTGTGGAGTCCAGCTCTGCCTGCTGTCCCCTCTCTGGACTCTGTAGGAGCTCTGTCCGGCTTTCTTTGGCTTTGTGGCAGGTATGCATCTGAGAGTCCTCATCTTCAACTGTAGAGGGTAAGAAACAAAAAAAAAATACTGTTGGCTTCAATGGTTTTAAAAGGATACACCAACAAGACACTTCTCTGACCTCTCTGAATTTTCAAGTGATCTCCTCCTTGCTTGTATGCAGTGACTCCTGAAGAACAGAGTGTCAGAGGCAAGTAACATTCCAATATCCCAGCAATTCCCATACATTCAACTACACACCAAACTGAGAAGACTATTACCCAAGCCATGTGCAAATTGGAAGAAGGCAAATATGATTAGAGAAACGAAAGCATGGATCAAAGACAGGTGAAAGGGAAGTTGGTTCTAGCTCCTGCAGCACTGGTATCAGCCCTGGGGAGAATGGGGGCCATATGGTTGGGATAGTGGACACCTCAACCATGCTGGGAACAATGTTCTAGAAAGCCTCATACTAGGAAAGTAGAAAAACAGGTTTAAACTAAAATGAGGGGACATGGGTTAGCATTTGGAAAGATTAGGGTGGTATATCAAAGAGTAGAGACAAGATAAGAGAAAAAGACATTAGCATGGGACATGATAGACAGACTGCAACAAGAAGGGTAACAGGGTACAAATTTAAAAGTAACTTTACAGATAAAGTTAGATCTTTCAAAAATAATAAAGGACAAGGTTAAAGACACTGTATCTGAATGTACACGGTATTCAACACAAAACAAATGAACATATATAGTGCAAGAAAAAGTAAATAAATATAATTACAGAGACATGGATGTGGAACAACATGGATTGGGACCTATGCATTGAAGAATGCATGGCATTTAGGAGGACAGGAAGCTCAGTGGAGGGGTGAATACTCTGTATTAAGGCCATCATTAATTTGCAATAGAGTGACAGCTCAACATCAGTTGTAGAAGCAGTTTTCGTTGAGTACAGAAATCATAAAGGCAAGAAGTGACTTCGGGGAGTGATGTACAGATCCCCAACAGTAATCACACATTAAGATAGGAGGAAGAAATAATTGGACTTGTCAGAAAGGTATGAATAACAATCACGGGTGAATAGGCAAAAGGTAGCCTAGATGAGGAGCTCCAATACTATTGTCAGGATAGCTCCTTAGAACAGCATGTTCTAGAAGCAGCCAGGGAGCAGGCTATATTAGATCTTGTACTGTGCAACAAGGTAGGATTAATTAATGACATTGAACTGAAGGTGCTGCTATGTAGAAGCAATCATAATACCTTCAGTTTGAGGAAAGTAAAGGGTAGGTCCGAGATTAGCATTTTCAATTTAAACAAGGGCAATGATGAGGATGTGAAAACAAAGCTAGCGAAAACGAACTTGCAAATTAGATTAAGAAATAGGTCAATAGAAACTTTAGTGACAGACATTTAAGGAGATTTTTTTAAATAAAAAAAAAAGAGTACACAGAATAGATATATTCCAACAAAGAAGAACAATTCTGCTAGGAGGACCCACATTCATGGCTAACTAAAAAAGTTAAATATAATAATGTCACTGAGTGGTTAGCACTGCAGCCTCAGTGCCGGGGATCTGGGTTCAATCCCACCGTCAGGTGACTGTCTGTGTGGATTTTGCATATTCTCCCTGTGTCTGCATGGGTTTCTTCTGAGAGCTCTGGTTTCCTCCCACAGTCCAAAGATGTGCAGGTTTGGTGGATTGACTGTGCTAAATTTCTCAGTGTCCAGGGATATGCAGTCTCGGTGAGTTAGCCATGGTAAATGCGGGGTTACAGGAATAGGGTGGGGTGGGGATGCTCTTTGGAGGGTCAGTGTGGACTTGATGGGCTAAATAGCCTGCTTTCACACTTGTAGGGATTCTAATGATAAATGTTAAAAGAAAAGGCATACAGTTTGCAAAGGTGGATGGCACTTTAGAGTATTGGACAACATGTAAAAAGCAAAGAATGACTAAAAGATTAATAAAAAGGGTAAAATTAGAGCACCAGGGAAAGTTAGCTATAAAACAGTTTCTAAACACACATTTAAAAATGAAAAGTTAAACACTATAGTGATTGTAATGAGGTTAGCCAAGTGGACCTTGTACAATACGAGTTCCCTGATTGGGGCTGTTAATCTTGTCCAATCAGGGAGCCCTGGCTAACAGATATAAACAGGAGTGTCAGAGGTTCTGATCACTGAGACCTGGCTCTGAGGGAGCTGAATCAGTGTCGAGAACTCTCCACATGTAAATAAAGGGTGACGTGGTGACAGGTAACAGGATAGGGAGGCAGGGACGAGCTGGACTGGTTTTGGGTTGCGGTAGGGGGAGGGGAGATTTTGAAACTTGTGGTTGCAGGAACAGCAACTCATATTCCGCTTGGGAACCCTGCAGCCCAATGGTATCAATGTGGATTTCACAAGCTTCAAGATCTCCCCTCCCCCTACCGCATCCCAAAACCAGTCCAGCTCGTCCCCGCCTCCCTAACCTGTTCTTCCTCCCACCTATCACCTCCTCCCACCTCAAGCCGCACCTCCATCTCCTACCGACCAACCTCATCCCGCCCCCTTGACCTGTCTGTCCTCCCTGGACTGACCTATCCCCTTCCTAACTCCTCACCTACACTCACCTTTACTGGCTCCATCCCCGCCCCTTCGACCTGTTTGTTTCCTCTCCACCTATCCTCTCCTCTATCCCTCTTCTATCCGCCTCCCACTCTCTCCCTATTTATTTCAGAACCCCTTTCCCCTCCCCCTTTTCTGATGAAGGGTCTAGGCCCGAAACATCAGCCTCTCTGCTCCTATGGTAAATCAGGAAATGGTTGTTGAATTTAACAATTTTATTTTGAAAAAAGCATTCATGAGATGTGGGTTTCCCTGGCTAAAACAATATTTATTGTCCATCCCTAATTGTCCTCAAGAGGGCAGTAGTATTCCCTCAATGCTCTTAGGGAGTGAGTTCCAGAATTTTTACCCAGTGAGTGAAAGAATGGAGATATATTTTCCAAGTCAGGATGAGGAGTGATTTGGAGGTGAATGGGCAGCTGGTGGCGTGTAAGTTGCCCTTGTCCTTCCAGATGACAATGGTCATGGGGTTGGAAGGTGCCATCTAAGCAGGCTAGGTGAATTTCTGCAGTGCATCTTTTGGACAGTATACCCTGCTGTTATGTGCATTGGTGATGGATGGAGTGCATGTTGGTGGAGGTGATGCTTTGACCTGGATGGTGTCAGATTTCTGGAGTGTTGTTGGAGCTGCATTCGTCCAAGCAAGTGGGGGATATTCCATCACACTTCAGATTTGTGCCTTGTAAATGTTGGACAGGTTTTGGGGAGTTAGGAGGAGTTACTTGCTGCAAGATTCCTAGCCTCTGACCTGCAGTTGTAGCCACAACACTTAAGTGGCTAGTCCATGTCAGTTTCTAGTTGACGGTAACCCCCAGGATGTTGATATTAGGGACTGAGAAATAATAATGAATGTCAAGGGATGATGGTTAGATTATCTCTTGTTGGAGATGGTCAGTGCCTGTCACAAATGTTACTTGCCATTTGTCAGACCAAACATAGGTATTGTCGGGTTTTCCTGCATTTGAACATGGGTTGCTCCAGTATCTAAAGAAATCATGAATGATGCAATCAGTGTGCATCCCCACTTCTGACCTTATGGTGGAAGGAAGGTCATCGATGAAGCAGCTGACGAGGTTGGGCCTAGGACACTGCACTGAGGAGCTCCTGCACAGATGTCTCATAGCGGAGATTACTGACCAAGACACACAACTTTCTTCCTTTGGGCTAGGTATGATTCCAACCAGTGGAGAGTTAAGTCAGTTAAATCACTCCTTAATTTTTCATACTCAGGGGATACAAGACTAGTCTCTGCAATCTGTCCTGCATCACTGTGGTGTATTTGTACTGTATCCATCCAAAGACCATATATCCTTCCTGAGCTGTGGTGCCAGAATTAAGTACAGAACTCTAGAAGGGTATCTAACCAGAGTTCTGCACAGCTGTAACATAGTTTCTAGCCACTGTAACCCATAAAGCCTGACTTTTATCTGACTACTAGCTTTGATTGATTTCTGTGATTGAACCCTTAAATTTCTGTTAATCTGCAGCCCCTAACTTCCGGCTACTAGAATATATTCTGATCCACTTTTCCTGTCTTCAAAGAGGATGACTTGTGCCGTCTCCAAATTTCCACTCACCAAATACATTGAAGCCCTTTTGCAACCTTCTGACCGCACCTACTTCCCTTGCTACCTAACTGAATGCTGCCCACTCAACTGGAGGTAGATTGTTTATTTCCCTGTCACACCTTGTTTTTGCACAGAGTGTCACACAGCACAGAAACAGACCCTTCGGTTCAACCCGTCCATGCCAAACAGGTTTCCTAAACTGAATTGGTCCCATTTGACTGTGTACGATTGACTGAAGCTCACCAGGCCAGCTCTGGCTGCTGCTCACCCCCCGCTGATCCGACGCTCGGTTTCCCTCTGACCATTGTTCCTCAGACCTCTCGGATAATGCCCACGTTGTCTGCCCAGTGGTTGATTTGCCTGGTGCAGTTTCAGGGACCTGCTCCCTATTATGGCACCTGTTGTCCTCCTTGGAGCTAACCCCTGCATAAAGAAATGGCACCTCAGATTACAGTGATAGCAGGAAAGAAATTAATAAAACAGACAAAAAAAAGAAATCACATCCATGGCAATTTGGAAATGATTTTAAAATGTTTTTCTTTCACATGCTCCTTTGTCATTGGTTTCCTGGAACAAAATGATTAGAAATTGCGGTTGATCATACTTTCATCGAAGTGGATTGGCCATGTTAAATTGTCCCATAGTATTCAGGGATGTGTGGGCTAGGTGAATTGGCCATGGGAAATGCAAGGTTACCGTGATATTGAAGTGGGTGGGATACTCTTCGGAGGGTCAGTAGAGACTCAATGGGCCAAATGGCCTCTTTCAGCACTGTAGGGAATCTACGATTCTATCATGATTACAAAACAAAAAGAGATCTGGTGGTTATCATGCTGCAAGTTGTGGGATCTTGTTGTGCACAAACCAGCTGCCAGTTTTTTTTTTAAAATTGCACATTTGTTACAAAATTTGATGTTCCGAATATCCTGAAGTCATTGTCTAAAGCAAGCCTTCCTTTGTTTTCTACACCTACCGAGCACGGAAGAACAAACTCATGATTATAAATAGCTGCAGCAGCTAAATTGTAAATAAGAAACGGTTCTACTGACAGAACATGAGAAAACGATTCGTGTTGTTAGTCAAGATTCATGGCACCAGGAGAATTTCCTGCTTTTCTCTGAATAGCGCCAAGGGATACCGAGCTTCCCTTGAAACAGGGAAATGTGTTTTTGGTTTTGCATCTTGTCTGGAAGACAACATGCCTGGCAAAATAACCCTCAGTGTTGTGAAGTGCCTGCTGAGATTGCCTGTTCAAGTTAGGCGGTGCTGGAGACCGACAACCTTCTGATCGAAATGTCAGGACTGAGCCACATTTGCTTCACCAACATCCCAAACAGTATCAGAATGAAATACACTTCCTCCTTCCACCCTCAGGAACAAGCTGGGAGGTCATAGAATCGTACAGTACGGAAACAGACGCTTTGGCTCGACTCAATGCTGGCCAGCGTCCCTAAACTGAACTAGTCCCCATTTGCCTGCATTTGGCCCAGATCCGCTGGTCATGGGCCTCCAGGCCTAAAAACAACCCTCTACCACCATCCTCTGTCTCCCACCAGGGCAGGATGGGGCAGAGTAGAGACTCTGCAGATTTCCTAATACTTCCCACCTGGATTAAATCAGGGCAGGAGGGAAGGTGGAGTTTGATATTCCTGTCCTTAGGTCAAATGAAGCCCAAAACTGGCCAATAAAGTAGTACCAAAAGAGTCTCATTGAGCTGCCACTGATATGCTACAAGGCCCATTCCATGTGAGCAGAACAACAAGGAGCCCTCTGGTTGGCTACTTTGTACCCTGCAGAAGATAAGTGCCACCCCTTGTGAGAGAATCCCTCCTGCACCCCCAATCCCACCCACCTTTATATGCTAAGACATGCCTGACTTGCCCCAGCTAAAGCCCACCCCATTTATTTCTGCCCTGGGACCTCTGTCTGTTCCTGGCCCAGAGTCATGTGTATTCCTAGCAGTGGCCGTTGAGTAGTGCTGCAGAGAACAATGAGGTGTTTGGAGATGGGAAGCTAGGCACCTCAAAGGAACAATTGGGATTCAATGTCAATGTCATCGGGGAACCTGGAAATGAGATTACCACCAGCTCTCCAGCAGGGGCTGGGCACTGCTACAGCCATCCAATTCAGTTGAATGGAAGCAATGAAGCTGCTGGCTCAGGAGGGAGATAAATCACTTGCCCCCCAGTTACTGAAATAATCAGAGAATGGCTAAATGGATCAAAAATGCAATCAGGAAGTCTTTGCACTGTACACAACACTTCCCTTATACAGACCATGCTTTCCTATTGGGCATAGGTGTCCAGTTACACAGGAAGGTACAAACCCCTGTGGCATACTTACCAGCTGTCTCCTTCACTAAACCACCTGTGCATGTTAAGAGTTTCCTCATTTTCTTTAGAACTCGGCGTTGTGACCTGGATATTCGAAAGTCCAAGACGTGGCACCTGAAACAGCAAACAGAAGAGATTCACAGCATCGGGCATTGGAGACATCATTCCACACTCCCAGAGGGACATGGAGGTCATCAGATTGTAACAGAAACTAATTCTAACATCCTGCCCAACTGATCTGTGCATTCCAGACCAGTCCTCTCCTTACTTCATCTCCTGTCAGTATTGCCTCTGTTCCTTTCTGCTTCATGTACTGAAACAACTACCATTGAAAACACATCTATTTGCCTTACCCATTCTACTTCAGAATTAGTCCATATTCTCCTTACTCAGAGTTAGAGAGTCATACAGCATGGAAACAGACTTTTCGGTTCAACAAATCCATGCCGACCATAATCCCAAACTAAATCAGTCCCACCTGCCTGCTCTTGCCCCATATCCCTCCAAACATTTCTTATTAATGTACTTAGCCAAATGTCTTTTAAATGTTGTAACTGTACCCACATCCACCACTTTCTCTGGCAGTTCACTCCACACACGAACCACTCTGTATAAAAAAAGTTAGCCCCTCATTTCTTTTGTAAAGTCTTTCTCCTCTCACCTTAAAAATATGCCCCCTAGTCTTGAAATCCCTTAGCCTAGGGAAAAGGCACTTGCCATTCACCTTACCTATACTCATGTTTTTATAAACCTCTATAAAATCACCTCGGAGTAAAAAAAAAATTTTTGCTTTGTTAGTAATGGTTCCGTTTTGCTTATATTTATGGGCTTTAAGATTTGGGATTCTCCCACAAGTGGAAACACCTTCTGTATGTCTTATTGAATCCTGTCATTATACTAAAGGCCTTTGTCAGGGGCCTCGGAGCCTTTTATTTTGTAGTTAACTAGCTCCAGACTGCTCATGCTGAGTGGGGGGGGGAAGGTTTAACCATTGTTGGTGTGCTTCAATTGTTTGGATTATTTTTGTCAAGTTTAGCACTTTGGACCCGTCTGGTATCAAGCCCTTACTCCATTTACCTTCCCAACTTCCAGGAATGTGAAGCACACTCAGTATTTAAACAAATGTAAAGGGTCTTGGGGAGCCGGGGATTTGCCAATTAATAGCTCAAGCTTCCTGGGCAATTCCCAGGAGGTCTGCACATTGCACTGGGACTTTACTGACATCCCACATCTTGGACCCTGCGATCCAGAAACTGCCCCGACTGACATTTCTCAACTTGGAAACCAGGAGAGTAGAGGGTACAAGGATTGAATGTTCGTTATTAACAGCATTCTGCATCATACTCTAGACAACTAACCTTAACCGACATCCCAATATTTCATTGGACTAAGGCTTACACCATAGACTGAGAAACAGCTTTATTAACCAGTAAATGGTAACTGAACAGAAATAATGGCATCCTGTAGACCATTAACAGTCAATGTTTGAACTATCTTTCTACAATAAATTAGAGAGTGACAAACATTTGTGCCAATTAAATTACCATGAAAAAAAATCAGCCAGACCAAGCCATTAATTCGTAATGTGTGCATGGGGATCTGTTGTTGGCTGTGCACAGAATCTCTATCTGATCCATTTATCTTTCTAATGGATTCAGACAGACTGCCAAAATAAAACAAATTAAGCTAAAAATTGGATCAAAAAATACTTGAGTGATGAGCCAGCAGACCCAATGGTAATTATTTACTGGAACTGAACATGGTCCCTTTGAGAACAAAAAAACAGAAGTTGCTGGAAAAGCTCAGCAGGTCTGGCAGCATCTGTGAACAGAAATCAGAGTTAACATTTTGGGTCCAGTGATTCTTCCTCAAAACACAGATGCTGCCAGACCCACAGTTTTTCCAGCAACTTCTGTTTTTGGTTCTGATTTACAGCATCCACAGTTCTTTCGGTTTTTATTTATTGTCCCTTTAAGTCTGGATTCTCAATTTTGCAGCTTGGTTCTCATCCACTTGATTGAACATTGCCTTGGAGTCTGCTGAATCCTTGCCTCCAGTCTCCCCGAGTCCCAATTTCCCATTTGCAGTTGTGAAACTCACTGAACCCACAACTCCCTGGAAGCCCCACTGTACCAACCATAACCCTTCATTCAATTCAATCACAGGGCAGATACAGCTACAACATCTGAGAGGAATTTGGACAGCTACATGGATAGGAAAAGTTTGGAGTGTTATAAGCCAAATGCAGGCAAATGGGACTAGTTCAGTTTAGGAAACCTGGTCAGCATGGACGAGTTGGACCGAAGGGTCTGTTTCTGTGCTGTATGACTTGATGACTATGACCTCCCATCTTGTTCCTGAGGGTAGGAAGAGGAAGTGTATTTCATTCTGACACTGTTTGGGGTGTTGATGAAGCAACTGTATTAATTTTGACTCACTGGTAGATCTCTTGACACCTCGATCAGGAGGTCATCGGTCTCAAGCTTGAACAGGCAATCTCAGCAGGTACTTTAGGACATTTAAACTTAATGATGGCAGCTAGTGTCATAAAAATAGGGGAAAACCTCTGCTTCAATCTTCTTTTGAGGACTGTGGTGCTGAGAGGGTTGTTTTGGTGTTGCATTGGAATTAGGAGATTTTTAAATGGTTAGGGTAGGTGCTCAGTTTTCCATCTGATCTGTGTCAGTTCTGACACGGATTGGAAGACTTGGGTCAATGTCCTGGAGCGATTGGATGGGTCAAGCATCAGATGCATCAGCAGATTCACAATTTTCAAATCACACCTCCCCATACGATGGAGCATGGGGACCTTGTTGTTGTATTTGCATTGCAGATGGACCCATGAGCGAACTACTATATACGGAGCACCAGTGGATAGTCATTCTGCTTCTGACAAAAGGAGAACTAAACCCGGTGGATATCAAAGGTCAGGGAGGGAATCACCTATTCATCTTTCAGGGATTTAAATGAAGAGATTCATTTCGGTTTGAAAGTTTATTATTTGGAAGAAGTTAACAGCTGATATGGAGGGCAAGGAAATCTCTAAAATTTGCACAAATTAAAAAGAATAAAATTAGTCCAACATATCTAATGGACCAAGTCATTGCCTCAAAACAATTTTCAATATACAATCAGTTACAGCTTTACCCAATATCTGTGTCCTGCAGTATTTGATGGAAAGAGAGGTTTGTTCTGTATCTAACTCTTTGCTATGCCTATTGCAAAAGTACCAATGGAAGAGTGTACAAGGAGGCCTTACTCTGTACCTATCTTGTTCTGTGTAGCTATTTCTTGATTAGTATTCCTACTGTGCTCCTAAAAAAACACGCTAAACAATCATTTACCCTTAAGGAAGTATAAGAGTGGATTGTGCTTCCAATGTGTACATTTTGCATTAAAGTCCTCTTGCCTGCCTTGAACCCACTGGCCTCTTAACTAGAACTTTCTGCTTACCTCTGGTTTGTCACTTAATTTCCCATGATCCTCCCACTTGTCCCTCATTCCCCAACATCACTCTCTCTTTCTGAAAACAGCCCTGCCCCCTCCATCTCAGTTGTAGCCCCTCTCACTCTGTCTCCCCAATCCTGTGTCAAGGGGGAATTAGGAAGGGGATGAGGAGGGAGACTGCAGGAAGCGGTGGGGGGGGTGGGGGGGTTACAGGGGAGGACAGTGTAGGGCTGGTGGTGTTGGTGGGGAAGAGGGGAGTGACAATGCAACACAATTTTTTAAAGACACAGACTGAGCATTCACAGTAACTGTGCCAAAACAAAAACACAATTTGGGGAACCTCTGTAATGTACAAAACCACAAAAAGTCAAAACACACTTAGGAATTTGCCTTAAACATGGTAAATTGTCTCATGAGTGTTTAATGGGACAGTGTAGAAATAAGTTTTTTTGAACATCTAATTTTACTTTCCTTGACCTAGAACCCTCACAGTGCAGAAAGAAGCCATTCGACCCATTGAATCAGCACCAACCCTCTGAAGACCACCCCATCCCAATCTCCCTGCATGTCCCACGGCTAACCCATCTAAGCTGCGCATTTCTGGACACTATAAGACAGTTCTTTTATCAGCAAGATTGATCAAACTAACCTGCACATCTTTGGACTGTGGGAGAAAACACATGCACACATGGAGAGAATGTGCAAATTCCAAACAGTCGCCCGAGGGTGGAATCGAACCCAGATCCCTGGCGCTGTAAGGCAGCAGTGCTAACCACTGAGCTACTGTGCTGCCCAACCTGGGGAGAGTTGGTTGGTCCACTTGGTGAAATAATTGTCATTTTCTATCTCTGACACGCATAACATTCGAGGAGTGGCAACATTCAGACTGACTGAAAAAATCACCTCTTAAAAAAAGAGGTGTAGAGGAACTGAGAGTGAAATCAGAGATACAGATGGTTAAAATTGTGCTTACCTCATGGGGTAGGTGGGACAACATGTAATAGGCATAGCGGCTTTGTACAGATACTTTCCACTCCTAGACAAAGTAGAAAACAATTTAATATCTTAATATTAGTAAAATATTATTATACGATATTGATATTTATCAAGCTAACATTACATAATATTTTATAAAGCTACATTGAAACAAAAAGGCAAAAGTCACCATTGTCTTACCGGACCATAGGGTTGCTGTCTCACAAGAGGGGCAAATGATGGAGGTTTAATCTGAGGGTCACCACACCTCAGGCAAGGGAAGAGGTTGAGAACGAGAATCCTTCACGGTAACCTCAGCCAGTGTAGGGACTGAACCCACATGGTTTGCATCTCTCTGCATTGCAAACTAGCCAGCCATCCAGCTAACCAAACTAACCAAGCCCTTTTTTTGGGGTATGGGCCGATTGACTAACTATTCCCGTGTATAAACTGCCTGAACTTCTTGTGCCTATCTGTAACACTCCTCTTTAAATATTTAGTCTAAGAAAGTAGACATTGGTGATATTTATTGTCCGTCACTAGTTAATGGGAAAAGGTTGTGGTTGACCGATTAGCTTGCTGGAGCGGTTAGGAATTAACCATAGTCCTGTTGGGGATACTTCAGATCAAGAAAAACAAATTTCCAAACTTATAGGACATTAGGGAACCAATTGTGTTTTTATTCCAATCGGATAGCTGTTTAAGCCACTTTCAGTGATCCAGCATTATTTAAAAAATATATAATATTTTAACAGCTATTCTGGAACTTGAACACTTTCTCTGAAGCATTCACCCAGTAACATACCTCCGAGTGCGTTAGTAGGGTAAATTAGAAGCAAACACCTCCACATGGATGATGGATACCCGTTTGTAACTCAGTTCCATGACCCTGAGCACTCGGAATCAACACAGTACCATACCTGTCGCTATCATTAAGTAATGCTCAGTGCAGCAATGGAAGGAGTCAATTGGAATCCCAAACTCCACCATCCCTGCCCCAAATTGTTTTATACCACGGCTAAGTTCTTTCTGCTTGGTCCACATTATTCCTGTCATTTACCGATTGGTGTCAACGATTACACAGAATATTAGCAGTCTTTGAATTTTAAAAAAATCATTTCACGGGATGAGGACATCGCTGGCCAGGCAGCATTTATTGCCCATCCCTAATTGCCCAGAGGGTGGTTAAGTGTCAGCCACATTGCTGTGGGTCTGAGTCACATGTAGGCCAGACCAGGTAAGGATGGCAGTTTCCTTCCCTAAAGGGTATTAGTGAACCAGATGGGTTTTTCTGACAATCGACAATGGATTCACGGTCATCGTTAGATTCTTAATTCCAGATATTTATTGAATTCAACTTCGACCATCTGCTGTGACGGGATTTGAACCCAAGTCCCCAGAACATGACCTGGGTCTCTGGATTAACAAATATTTTATCCCCATCTTCCCCTCCCTATAATCTGACAGGTCAAGGTGAGCTGAAACTCTGAATGCCACAAGTGGATTTCGATAGGAATTCAACGGTAGAATATGGGTGTTGTACCATGGCTGGAATAGTCTTACCATCTGTACACTGCCTGAGGCAGCCTAGATATGATTATTACAGAATATGCGATCATTAAAAACTGAAAGAACTGCAAATATTGGAAAACAGAAAGAAAAGCAGAAATTGCTGGGAAAACTCTGCAGGTCTGGCAGCATCCGTAGAGAGAAAGCAGAGTCAATGTTTCAGGTCCAGTGACCTTTCCTCAGAGCTAGTCACTGAACCCAAAATGTTGACTCTTCTTTCTGTCTACAGATGCAGCCAGACCTGCAGAGTTTTCCCGGCAATTTCTGCTTTTGTTTCTGTAATAATCAATCATACTGCTTCACGTCATGGATCTAGTGAGATCAATGCTTTCCTGTCGCTTTTGTCCTTTTGGACACTTTGACAACATTCAAGGCCTTGGCTGATCTGATTCTCTGCTGGCCTCTGACTTCCAGACCCTCAACCAGACTTTCTGCCCTGGGTTGTAGTTTGACAGTGTAAGTCTAGAGTTGTATCATCCCGGCTGGTTTTTACTGTGACTCTCCTCTAGCTGATTTACTTGATCAAACCATTGGTTCTGCAGGCACTTGGCCTATAAGACAAAATGTCTTTTGAAATATCTGGTCACCAAACTGGTTGTTGAGGTCTTGCTCTGTACTTTACGATAGCTAAGAGAACACCTCATGGAGTTTCTGCAGGGTTTTGCTTTGCAATGGATTGTGGTATAACCAATCTGTAGTTGTACATCGATAAAGCCTTCCACTATTGTCCAGCGTGGCTTCTGGCCTGAAAGAAATTTCAACAACCTTTGCAGGCAGCATTTCCTGACCCTTGTACATTCCTGGTCAGATTACTGAGCTGCACAAACATGGCTGAGTTTTCCCTCAGTCGATGGTATTGTGTTAGTTATTGCCAAAGAATAAAACTCTTATTCTTCTAGAAGAATAAGACCTTCCTTTTGTTGCTCAATCCATTGCTGCTTTCGGGATAGAGAGTGTACCCATTGCTATTTGTACCTTGCCTGAAATATTCCAGTCACATCTCGTCAGACTGGGCCTGAATCAATGTATACATGAAGGAGTTTGAGATTTCTTTCAATACCAATAAGACTGTTATGGAAAGGCCTGTAGTCCACGTTGGCATGAAACATCATCGCATGAAGACTACAAACATTTCACATCCCCATGTAACTACTAATGCTCCCTCGCTATAATCGTGAAAAAAACTTTTCAGTCTTCAAATCTCTTGACATAACATAGACCAGTTTTCATCTTCCATCAGTTTGAACTTTATCATAACCCTGGATCTATGGGTCTACTGAACTTTAATTACACTTTTTTTTCTATAAATAAAAGATGTGTGACCAAATATCGATTTTCTTGGCTACCTAACACATTTGGGGTTTCCCCCTTTCAGGAATACACATGCTTTAAAAGCAAGCTGTGTGTGCACTAGTCGCCTTATTTCCAAGTGTGTTATGAAGCACTGTGAACAGCCATTTAAAATACCCCTGCACAGCAAGCAAAGCAAACTAAAAAAAACACTACATTTTACTCAGAGTGCTGTTAGTCAGCCAGTACCACATGGAATCAGGACTGAGGAATTTCAATCCAACTACAAAGCCTAGAATCATGGAATTGACAGCCAACATCAATGCATCACAGATGCAACATTCACCAATTTGCTCTTCACAAGCAATTCAGAACTTATCTTTAAATCTTTTTAAAAACAAAAAATGCTGGAGATCACAGCGAGTCAGGCAGCATCCATGGAGAGGGAGCAAGGTAACGTTTTGAGTCTAGATGACTCTTCATCACAGCTGTAAATCCTTTTATTATGCTTTTATCTTTTTGGACTCACCTCTCATTTTTCATCTGTGTATGGTGTATCACATTACAGTTTCTTCTCATGTTTAACAATTCATACATGCACATTTGTTAATTTATGAAAGCTTAATAAAATTGGCTTCTTTTAAAGTACAAATTTATTTGGATCTGGGAGAAAAAACAAAAAAGGTATTCACAAAGGAAAGGGATCCTTTTAAAATTCTCGTAACCAATTAGAGGTGTCGTGTGAATAACCAAGGGGAATATTACAGGAGCCCTCACCCAAAGCTTAAACAGGTTTGAGGTAGTCCACCTGGTACTGTAACAAATTGAGGAACCTCACCCAGGGTTTGGTCTTAACAAATTGCAGAGTCAGAATCATACAGCATCTTTGGTCCAACCAGTCCATGTCGAACATATTTCCCGATCTATACTAGTTCCACTTGCCTCCATTTGGCCCATATCCCTCTAAACTTTTCCTATTTATGTACATATTCAAATGTCTTTTAAAATGTTGTAACTGTACCCATCTCTACCACTTCCTCTGGCAGTTCATTCCATACACACACCACCCTCTGTGTGAAGAAGTTGCCCCTCAGGTTCTATTTTTTTTTTAAGAAAAAGATCTTTCCCCTCTCACCCAAATCCTATGCCCCACCCCCCCCACCATCCCCCCGGTTTTGAGGTCCCCAATCCTAGGGAAAAGATCTTTGCTATTCACCTTATCTATGCCTCTCACAATTTTATAAATCTCTATAACCACCTACTCTCCAGGGAGAAAAAAAATCCCAGGCTATCCACATGACAGACTTGCAGAAATTGTAATGAGTTAACCTGGATTGCAATGTGCTCAAGTTTCAGTGAAAAAAGTGGCCTCTCCTTAATCTTTCCAAAACCTGTAATCTGTTCCTGACTCCAAAATCATTGCTGACCTGTTTTCGAAAATTCTCTTACGAATGGAATAAATCTGGCCAAGTTGCAGATAAATTTTCCAACTTGCATTACCATGTCTAAGAAGCACCGTACATCAGTTATACACCTCTTGCAAAACACAGAGAGAGAGAGAGAGAGAGAGAGAGAGTGAGCGACAGAGGGCAAGTGTGAGAATGAGAGAGAGAGACAGAGAGAGAACCCAAAGAGAGAGGAAGACACCTAGAGCACAGACAGGCAGACAGAGCATAAATAACTGGCAACATACAGTTAGAGAAAGAGAGGGCAAAAGTGGGTGTGGAAGGAGAAGAGGACAATATGAAACACTGGATGATGCTTGGCAGCGCACTAAGAGAAATCAGAAAAAATCCACAATCCAAACTGTTTTGAGGGTAATCACAGCTTCCTGGAATTAAAACAGATCATTTTGCAAAACTCTCTCACCACGGTCTCACGAGAGGGAGCACTCATCGGACCCAAAGTGATCATCCCTACTCCAACTGGCTCTTTCAGAGGCTCTAATACCAGGATAGCAGTCTCACAACATTAGCCATTATCAAATTATAGAGTCACCCTGGGTAGAATTAATTTGTTAATGTAAGAACAGCTGTGTATCCAAAGTCTGATGTTGCATATCTTACTATGATACTGTCAAGGTCCCAGAGTTGCTGGATTCATCCACTACTAACCGTATGGTTTTGATTTTCTATATCAAAAGATTCTGATAAACTTTAGGCAGGAAGTTGGAGATCAGGAACAACATATAATTCTATCCCACACAGGACACCAGTTAATTGACTAAAATTTGTATTGCCTATAATCATTTTATTTCTAAAAACATTTTAACCGTTTGTAGTGTCATGGAGTCTGTGGTCAGTCAATGGTCCTGTGAGAGATTAGTGATATTTGCAAGGGGGACTTCTTCCTCATTACAGAATTTAGCTCTTTGACTAGTGACAGTTCATTCCATGAGAAATCAGGAACACTGGAGTAGGAGCATTTTGTTGATTGGTTTGAAACAACACAGTTTGGTGCAAGACAGACTGGCTGAAGAGAAGGTCTTGAGGTTTAGACCTGAAAAGTAACACTTTTTATTATGCATTAATACTAAATACTGCTGTACATGGTAAATAATAGACATACCAGACTCTAATCCGACAGTTACATTAACCAAAGGACCTACCCACCTTTTGGTGTTCATTTCCATGAGCATCTGAGTCATTCTAGTTCTGAATAGTTTGGTGCATTACTATCTGCTTTAAGTCTGCCCACACTGTGCTATTTACATTCTGTGATGTGCAGCTCTGTGATATCACAACGAGTTTGCTACAGGATCCTAAAGGTCTTGCACAACACTCGGTGCGGGAGGGAATAGAAAATCTTACAGCTCCCTAGTCTGCTCTGCTACTTAATACAATCCTGGTTCATCTGTCCATTTACCTTGGCTTGGTTCCAAGTCACTTAACAACCTTCCTTAATACAAGTTTCAGTTTTGAAACTCAGTTAACACAAGAGTTATTTTTTTTAAAAAGGCTAAACTCTGATTTTAATAACCTTAAAATTCCCTATTTTTAATGGATTCCAATCAAAACAGTTCATCATTGCCTGATCTCAGATTCTTTAATATCCTTTAACACATTTAAATAATTCCCTAAATGTCGACAGATGCAAATACAATCTATTCTACTCAATGAGTTGTGTTGATCACGATTGTAGATGCTCAGAGGGTATCTCACTTTCAACAAATGTCAGTCATGCTCTGCCACAGTGTGTTGACCCACGAATCTTGTGTGTTAGGGGAGATACTAAGCTCGCTTGGTCCACACATTCACAGTCAACAAACAGAAAAGTAAATACAGGTTGGCAGAATACTGGATCAGGAGGGATCACAGGGGTTGCTAAGTTGCTACATTGCTCATTCAAGAGCAGGAATCCTGCCAAGATCATTGTTATTACCTGCAGTATCTCAACCAGATTGCCACGCTGTGTATAGACGGAGTATTAAATATGGAACTTCTGCAGCCTATATTGATCACTCCTGCACAAGGCAGTGTGCTTTCCACTGACCCATCCAGGCAGCGTGTGGGATTATCAGAAAGAATAAAGATTGAAATTCTTTAAGGAAACATCAAGCTTTAGATAAGCTTAATAGGGGAGGTGGTGACCTAGTGGTATTATCACTAGGCTGTTAATCCAGACACCCATGTAATGTTAGATCCAACGCATCATCCTCCGACACTTCCGCCATCTGCAATCCGACCCCACCACCAAAGACATCTTTCCCTCCCCACCTTTATCTGCTTTCCGGAGGGACAACTCTCTCCGTGACTCCCTTGTCCGCTCCACACTCCCCTCCAGCTCCACCACACCCGGCACTTTTCCCTGCAACCGCAGGAAGTGCTACACCTGCCCCCATACCTCCTCCCTCACCCCCATCCCAGGCCCCAAGAAGACTTTCCACATCAAGCAGATGTTCACCTGCACATCTGCCAATGTGGTATACTGCATCCGCTGTACCCGGTGTGGCTTCCTCTACATCGGGGAAACCAAGCGGAGACTCGGGGACCGCTTTGCAGAACACTTACGCTCGGTTCGCAACAAACAACTGCACCTCCCAGTCGCGAACCATTTCAACTCCCCCTCCCATTCCTCAGACGACATGTCCATCCTGGGCCTCCTGCAGTGCCACAACGATGCCACCCGAAGGTTGCAGGAACAGCAACTCATATTCCGCTTGGGAACCCTGTAGCCCAATGGTATCAATGTGGATTTCACAAGTTTCAAAATCTCCCCTCCCCCTACCGCATCCCAAAACCAGTCCAGCTCGTCCCTGCCTCCCTAACCTGTTCTTCCTCCCACCTATCCCCTCCTCCCACCTCAAGCCGCACCTCCATCTCCTACCGACCAACCTCATCCCGCCCCCTTGACCTGTCCGTCCTCCCTGGACTGACCTATCCCCTCCCTACCTACCTACCTACACTCACCTTTACTGGCTCCATCCCCGCCTCTTCGACCTGTTTGTTTCCTCTCCACCTATCCTCTCCTCTATCCCTCTTCTATCCGCCTCCCACTCTCTCCCTATTTATTTCAAAACCCCCTTCCCCTCCCCCTTTTCTGATGAAGGGTCTAGGCCCGAAACGTCAGCCTCTCTGCTCCTATGATGCTGCTTGGCCTGCTGTGTTCATCCAGCCCTGCACCTTGTTGTCTCGGATTCTCCAGCATCTGCAGTTCCTACTATCTCTCACCCATGTAATGTTCTAGGGACCTGAATTCAAATTCAATAACAAAAATCTGGAAGAGCCTAACAATGACCATGAAACCATGGTTTGAAAAAAAAACCCATCTGGTTCACTAATGCCCTTTAAGGAAGGAAACTGCCATCCTTGCCTGGTCTGGCCCTCATCAATGTGGTTGACTCTTAACTACCGTCTGTGATGGGCAATGTGTACAATTCTAGCCAGTGTTGCCCTCATGCCACGACTGAATTTAAAGAAAACTTGTTCTGCATCAGATTCAGGGTTTTAAATGCTCTGGGTTTCGATTCACCAACGCTCACTCACCTAACCCATCCTTTGTTCAGCAGCAGCTGGTAATCGTGGACTGACAATTTGTGAGCCATGAGACCTGCAGAACAAAAGTACAGATACTTAGTAAAATGCACTGCTCTCACGGCAACATCCCGCAGCACCCTGCAATGCTTTCACTGCATTCAGAACTTTAATGTTTTCACAAGACATTTCCCACTTGATCAGCAACAAAGACCATTGAGTGACAGCATATGGACTGACAATGTCATAAGATTGTGGGTTTGTCCTCCAGGGACTTCAGTTTATAATCTACTTTGATTTTCAAGTGTAGTGCTGAGGGAGTGAAACGTTGTTGGAGATTCTGACGGTCAACATTCCCTCTAAGCTGCAACGTTCCACACAGTGCGGCACATGGATTGCAGCATTGACCTACAGTTCCAGAAGTCACTGCAGTGTAGGGACCTCAGAGGACTGTGCAGTCAGTGAGGAAATTAGAGGAAATGCTGCTGACGACATGACATTATACTGAGGGCCTTTCGGTTAGCCTCTGTGCCCTGGCCAATATTTATCCTTCTACAAGGATGGCCTTCATGCAGATTATTCTGTCTTTTTCTCATTGTTGTTTGCGGGAACTTGCTATGTGCAAATTGACTGCTGCATTTCCCACATTAAAGTGGTGACTACAATTCAAAACATTCCGAATATGCTGAAAAGTGCTCCTGCTAGAGGCCAGGTGTACGGAGATAAAGCCATGAGGAAGTATGAAAGACTTCAGAGGTTGAGAGATTACCAGCAGAAATGGTTTCTGAGGGACAGAAAGAAGTAGACACTGAAACACTTGACTCCACAATCCACCCCTAGTCCCCTCCAACCACCTCCTAGCACTGTGTCACTATATTCAACACCAGTCAGCAAGATCAATAATCTTCAAACAAAAGGGAAGATAATAAAAAGTAAAAGCTTACTGACTCCAATAAATCATACAAAAACATATTTCAGAAACTAGTCATGACATGACAATCATGAAAAAATGGAACTGAAAACAAGGGAGCAAACATTTCAGGAGAATGTGATTTTTGCAGGACCTAGGAAGGAGCAATGATAATGGTTTCAGCAGATTCCTGCTTGAATGCTTTCAAAAAGGGGTTAGATTTTATGGTTATAGATTAAAATCACATTTCTTAAAGGGACAGTCAATCTCGCTCTGGATTTCCTGGCTACACAGGTGACTGACACCATGGCATCTCCAACATCTAAAAATTGCATTGTAGATGAAACAGCCCTCAACACTCCACACCCACATATGCCCACAGGCCTAAACACACCTACACACACACACAGCAGTCTAGCTGCATTAGCAGCGAAGTGACATAGAAATGGAACCATAAAAATTTCCTGCAGTGTGGATCACTGTAATCTTTCAAAAAGGAAAGTCAAAGCTCCTTATAGAGCTTCAACCAGTGGCAGTTTGTTGTTTTCCTTTTCAATTAAATTAACATCTTTCAAAAAAAAATTATTGCTAGCTACCACTTGTCATTAGACAAGCAATCCAGAGGCCCATGCTTTTTTTTAAATTTCAAAAAAATATACTTTATTCATAAAAGATATCTTTATGTACATACATAGTAACTAAAGCAGTTCAGCTGTATAGTAGTATATGAAGAAACAAACATTGGAGTTGGATTCTATTCAGTAGACAAACCAAAGACATTTCTTACCTGTACAAGATTATCTTTACATATAGTTGACACACCAGGAGGGTCCAATAATTGAACAGACCCCCATTTAACTGCGGCAGAAAGACCTTAAGTGGTGGTCTTTCCCCACTGGGCCTTGGCGGCAGCTGCCCCAACCCCAGGAGGTCCACGCTAATGTTCTCGGGACAAAGGCTCAAATCCAACTATAGTGGCTGCTGGAATTGAAATTCAATGAATAAACCTGGAATTGAAAGTTCGTCTCAGTGACGGTGACTATAAATTGTTATAAAAACCCATCTGATTCGCTAATATTCTTTGAGGTGGTTTCCTACCATTGAGAGAGTCTGATCCATCTGATTCCTACTGTGGGCCTTCCCATTGGAAATGACCAGCAGATTCCTACTGATTCTCCAACCAAAAAGCAAACACTCCAGCAGCCCTGCATTGCCATTGACACTATTTTCCCTGGTTTACAGCCCTTCCTGATTTTGCTCTCACATTTATAATAATCAGTTAAGTAATTGCTTGCCTTCTAGCAGTTTAATGGTAGCAAAGACTATCTCCCCTGGGATTCAACAGGTTGTGTGTTCAAGTCCCATCATAGGTCTTGACAACATAATCTTGGCTGGCACTGCAGGGGCATGGAACCAGCTTTCAGATGAGATGGCAAAGTGATGTTGCATTTGTCCTCATTAAAATATCCTGTGGTGCTATTTGCAGGAGAGTTGTACCAGTATCCTGGCTAGCCAGCAGCATTAAAATGGCTAATTTGCACATGAACCTCATGCCTGCTTTTTTGAACTTTGCTCCATGCAGTTTGGCTGGCCCATTTTCCCACCTTAAAACAGTGCTTACATTTTAAAAGACACTTCATTGGCAGTGAGCTGCTGTGCTGATATAATGGAAGTTGCTCTATAAATTCAAGTTGCTTCTCACAAACACACACGGTTATAATCAATGGAAAGCTACTGATGGCTCAAAGAGGGATTTTCTAAGGGATTCCACCAGACAGCTCCCCCAGTGTGAAAGTGCAGACAGACTAGACTATGATACTGGAGTTTTATAAATAGAAGCGCCGAGTATTTTCCGAAAGATAATGATAAACCTGCACAAGACAATGGTTAGGCTACAGTTGAGCATCTAATTTTAGAAAGACATCAAACTACAGAGAATGAAGAGCATTAATTACAATTAAATCTATTGGGCATAACGGCAGTTGAGAAGAGATGGGATTACTGTAAGCAGAAAATAAAGACACAGCAGACTCAGAGGCTTTTGAAATACAAAGATTTTTGGGAGATAATAAGGAAATATGTTTCAACAGGTTGCAAAGTCTAAGGGGTCTTCAACGTAAAAATGGATACTTACAGCAAGGAGTGGGATCAAGAGAAATTTCTTTTACAGAAGAAGCTGTCAGAACACAGAATACAGGTCACAAAAGAAGGTGTGTTCTGATGGGTCACCATCATGACTAAGGGAGTGTACATGGCATGACAGTGAATTGTTGAGAATGTTTGACATCCTGTAACAAAGGTACACTAGCTGCAGAGATAGTAGGAACTGCCAATGCTGGAGAATCTGAGATAACAAGGTGTAGAGCTGGATGAACACAGCAGGCCAAGCAGCTGCTGTGTTCATCCAGCTCTACACCTTGTTATCTCTACACTAGGTGCAATTGTGATCTTACTTTAAATCCCAAACAACTACGCACAAGAGGTACCAACAATGACATAACTTGGCCTATGTCCTGAGGTCACAACTGCCTTTTAAAGATCCCAGTTCACTATGTAAAAAACAGCAAGGAGCCTTCCCAGTGCTCTGGCCCATATTTCTACACAGGGACACTGAAACAAGAACAGCTCCTCAAGTCTCATCCATCATTTAATCAATTAGGTCACGGACATACTTTAGCTCAATGTTGTTCTCTATATAGCCCTCGATACTCTTACCAAACAATCATCGATCAATCTCAAACAGTTGTAGATTTTTGTCACCAATTACATGAGAGTGTGCTTTCCACTTTCACTTTTGAATGACCAAACTCCACACTTAAGATTGTGCCTTTTCATTCAGAATGCCCCCAGCACAGGAAATAGTTTCTCTGCATCTGCATAACTGAAATATTTTTTCATTTAAATGCCTCTCTTCCAACCAGTGTCGCAAAACAAAACTAGCTGATCTTGTTAATTTCTGCGCAGGCGCTTTGCTGCTGTGTTTGCCCCACATGCCAGGTTCACTGGAGTGCACACTTTGAATTGTCACTAGGAAATGCAGAGAGGTCTTCCAGAGCAAAGTTCCTTCCTTTCTGTAGGCAAAATACAATTAATAGTAGGGCCTTGGGGTAGTGCTGTAGAATACAGGGATCTATGGGTTCAAGTACATAATTCTTTGGTCACATATAGACAGGGTGCTTAGGAAGGTGTTTAGCATGCTTGCCTTCAATGCTCAGTCCTTTGAGTATAGGAACTGGGAACTCATGTAGAAGATTGTACAGAACAGTGGCGAGGCCTCTTCTGCAGTACTGTGCTCAGTTCTTGTTGCCCAGTTACAGGAAAGATTTTATTAAGCTGGAGAGGATTCAGAAGAGATTTACCAGGATTTTGTGGTGTATGGAGGGTTTCAGTTATAAAGAGAGGCTGGGAATTTTTTCACTGCAGTGTAGGAGGTTAAGAGGTGACCTTATAGAGGTTTAGAAAATCATGACAGGTACAGATAGGGTTAATAGTGTCTTTTCCCTAGGATGGAGGATTTCAAGACGGGTGGGGTGGGGGGGGGCATATTTTTAAGAACAGAGAGATTTAAATAAAGATATGAGGGCCATTTTTTCTTCTTTTTACACAGGATGGTTTGTATGTAGAATGAACTTCCTGAGGAAGTGGTGGATGCAGGAACAGTTACATCATTTAGAAGACACTTACATAAGTACATAAATAGAAAAGGTTTGGAAGGATATGGGCCAGGAGCAGGCAGGTGGGACTAGTTTAGTTTGGGATTATGTTCAGCATGGACTGGTTGGAACAAATGGTCTGCTTCCATGCTGTATGCACTCTAGGAGTACCCCACTCCATTGTAATTGAGGTTGTAATGATGTGTAATGTAATGAAAATCTGCAACTGTGGCTGTTAGTCTTGAAATTTTCAATTGATCTAAGATTAATAGATGATTGTTTGGTAAGAGTATTGAGGACAATGATGAGAACAACATTGAGCTAAGGTATGTCCGTGACCTAATTGATTAAATGGTGGATGAGACTTGAGGAGCTGTTCTTGTCCCAGTGTCCCTGTGTAGAAATATGGGCCAGAGCACTGGGAAGGCTCCTTGCTGTTTTTCTTTCCCCCCAATAAATGCTCCCATGGTTTAAAGAAGAAAGGCTTGCATTTATATAGACCTTTTCACAATC